GAGCAGAAGGAGACAGGGAAGGGCAGTTGGAGCACCAGGAGCCAGGGAAGGGCAGTTGGAGCACCAGGAGCCAGGGAAGGGCAGTTGGAGCACCAGGAGCCAGGGAAGGGCAGTTGGAGCAGAAGGAGCCAGGGAAGGGCAGTTGGAGCACCAGGAGCCAGGGAAGGGCAGTTGGAGCAGCCAGGCCTGGGAAGGGCAGTTGCAGCAGCCGGGCCCGGGGCCAGCAGGGCCACGTGAGCCACTGCTGCTTCCTGGAGGAAAAAACCCAGGCCCGAAGCGCGTGGCGAGGGATCGAGGAGCCCCTCCCGCCCCCACTGGGGACCTGCTTCACCCTGCCCTTGATCCAGCCCCATCCCTCTCTCCTCTCCTGTATGGAACACCCTGATCCAGACCCCGTCAGGCCCCTAAAAAACCCTAAACCTCCAGGGAAGGATCAAACCCCCACCAAGGTCGTGCCCACCTCCGAGGGGTGGCCTGGACGGAACCCCAGGGGATGCAGCGGCACAGCAAGACTGGCCTTTGGAAATTCAAATTATTTCGTGTTATAAAACCTCCCCTCCCCTCTCTCTCTCTCTCTCTCTCTCTCTCTCTCTCTCTCTGTGCCTTTCCTTCCTTATCGCAGCTGCTGCTCCTCCCCCTGTGACCGCGCAGGAACCAGGAAGCAGCAGGGAGCACAAACGGGTGGGAATGCAGGGGGTGGCCGGGAACACCCGGCTCGAACAGCCCCGGCTCGAACAGCCCCGGCTTGTCCTCCTGCCTCGCCCCAAACCCCCCCCCTGTTCCGGAACAGGGGCTGTTTTGTCCCCACCTGGCTCCCCCGTTTCCAGGCTCTCCGACGCAGGGAATGGGGAAGGGATTTGTTTTCCTGATGGGATGCCGAGGAATAATAAAATCGAGGGGACATCCAGCTCAGGGCAGGACATGTGACAGGGGACAGCAAGGCCGAGCCTGTCCCCATCCAGGCTTCTCCATGCCCAAAGCCCGGGCGTGGGAAGAAGCAGGAGGCTGTGTTTTGCCTGGAATGGGGGGTTTTAGGGAAGCACCTTGTTTATAGGGGCTGGGAGACAGTGCCAGGCCCTCCCAGGAGCCGGCAGGGAGCAGGTCCCCATCCAAAACCCATGGAGTGGGTGAGAGATGGAAAAGAGACGGGGTGGCACTGCCCACAGGCCTCCCCCTGCCAAAAATCCCTGTGTCTCCCCTCATCTCCCCCTTGCCACCACTCCCAGTGGCACCAGCTGCCAGGCACCCCCTGGCACTCGAATATCCCGCTGCTCCTGAGCACTCCAGGCCCCTGGATTCGGTGCAGGGGGTGTGGGATCAGCACCCCGGGCCCCCGGAGCAGGGAGGTGCCGCGTGGCAGGGCCGGGGGAGCGGGGAGGGAGGGTTGGCATCCTGCCCCCGCCATTATCTGCATTCCTCAGCTCTCCAACGTGGGCTGGGCGCGGCCCTGCCGAGGGGAAGGGGCAGGATGAGGCCTCCTGCCCCACGGTATGGCCCCACCAGTTTCGGGGGGCAGCCCCGTGGACCCCCCAAAAGCACGAGGGGCTGGTCCTGGCAGCAAAGCAGCGGGCACTGGCACGGCTGGGAATGGCTGGGCAGGCAGGGAGCAGGCAGGGAGCAGGCAGGGAAGGCTCCTGGGCCAGGCAGCCCACGCAGCCCCTCGGCAGGGCCGGGGGGACACCGGGGTGGGAGCAGGGTGGGACCCCCACCCCGGCACAGCCACGGCAGCCGCGGAGCCCGGAGAGAGGAGGCGGCGCCGCCATGCTCGGACCGGAGTGAACCGGAGGAATCCAAACAATATCCCCTTTCTTTGGCGTTCCCGTGGCCCAGGGAAGGAGCAGGAACCCTGATTAGAAGCAGGGCCCAGGCCAACGCCCCCGGGGAGCTGCACCAGGGGGCTGCTCGGGGCAGGGTGTGCCAAGGACACCGACGGCGCGGGGTCCAACCTCCTTCCAACCCAACCACCCCACGGAGCCACTTCCAAACATCTCTGGCCTCGGCCACCACGCAGAGGTGAAGAGCTGCAGCTCTGTTCCACCAACCACGTCCCTTGGCCTCCTCAGAATCCCAGTTTCCAGCAGAGCTGGGCTGTTCAGGACAGAGGGATGGTGTGGCACTGCCTGTCAGGATGGGCCCCTTGAGACATCTCAAGTGTCAGACACCCAAACTGCTCGTCTCACTGGAAAGCTCCGGCCTTCCTACCTAGTTTGGGTGCTTAAGATGGAAATGAGTGGAGCAGGAGAGATAAAATCACCTGAGAGGGAAAAGGGCCGAGCTGGTTTTGGGGGAGAGCCCCCCATGCTCCAGGGGCAAGGGCAAAGCCTGTTTTGTGGGAGAGCCAAGTCAAGGGCAGAGCTGGATTTGTGGGAGAGCCCCCCATGCTCCCAAGCCAAGGGCAGAGCCGGATTTGTGGGAGAGTCCCCTGTGCTCCAGGGACAAGGGAGAGTCAGATCTGTAGGAGAGCCCCCCGTGCTTCCAGGTCAAGGGCAGAGCTGGATTTGTGGGAGAGCCAAGTCAAGGGGAGAGTCGGATTTGTGGGAGAGTCCCCTGTGCTCCAGAGGAAAGGGCAGAGTTGGATTTGTGGGAGAGCCCCCTGTGCTCCAGAGGAAAGGGCAGAGTTGGATTTGTGGGCGAGCCCCCCGTGCTCCCAAGCCAAGGGCAGAGCCAGATTTGTGGGAGAGCTCCCTGTGCTCCAGGGGAAAGGGAGAGTCAGATGTGTGGGAGAGCCCCCTGTGCTCCCAAGCCAAGGGAAGAGTTGGATTTGTGGGAGAGCTCCCTGTGCTCCCAAGCCAAGGGAAGAGCCGGGTTTGTGGGAGAGCCCCCCGTGCTCCCAAGCCAAGGGAAGAGCCGGATTTGTGGGAGAGCCCCCCCGTTCCCCCCCAGCCCGTACCTGGTGAATCGGACGTTGCAGATGTTGCACTCGTAGGGCTTCTCCCCGGTGTGGGTGCGGATGTGGCGCGGCAGCTTCCCGGCGCCCTGGATCACCTTCTCGCAGATGGGGCACTTCTGGAATGCTTTGGCCCTGATCTTCTTCTCCTTCTGGGACCAGGACGGGTAGACGTCGCCCTCGTTCGAACTGCCGAAGTATTTCAAGTAATAATCCATGACCCCGTCGTCGTCCTTGCGGTCGTCGTCCCCGAGCTGCTGCCGCCCCACCGAGTTGATCATCTGCTGCAGGAGGGCGCTGGCGGCCAAGTCGTCCACCTCCCGCGCGTCGTCCTCCGTCTCCGCCCCGGCGGGGATGAAGCCGGGCGAGTCGCCGGCTTCCTGCGGGTCCAGAGGCCCCCGGGGGGTCCCCCCCTCCTCTTCTCCCGGCGTGGCCAAGCCACGGCTGCTGTAATGTCCGTTCTGGGAAGGTGAGAACATGCCGGCGGTGACCGGCTCCTCCTCCTCCCGGTCCAGCCACATGGCCGGGTTGCTGTCAGGGTCACAGTCACTTGCCTTTGGTCTTTCGGTTGGGGTGGCCTGCGAGTAGAAGTCCAGGCCGTTGCAGTTCGACTCCTCCTCCTCCTCTTGGCCTCGGAAGTTCAGTCTCTGAAGGTCTCTCAACTCTGGGTTGGTCCACGGAAAGCTGCCTTGGTGGCCGTTGACGGGGTTGCTCTGGAAGAACTCCAGGTACTCTTTTGCTCTGAGATGGTTCCTCTGATCAATTTGATCTACTGTATCCATCTGGTCATTTTTGGCCAGAATCTTCCTGTCCAGGAGATCCGTGCAGACATCCCTGACGGCCGGGATCTCCAGCAGAGTGGCCGCGTTGAGGATGTCGTTGACGTTCGAAGTGCTGACAGTGAGGGTCGCGGTGTAGGCGAACTCCAGCAGCGCCGACAGGGCGTCCGCACTCACAAAGTCTATCTCATACACGTTTTGCTGGTCCACCACTAACCCTGAGGTGAAGAGCTTCTTGAAGTACTGGCTGCACGCCGCCAGGACGGAGCGGTGGGTGGGGAACTCCTGGCCTTCCACCAGGATGACCACGTCGCACAGCAGCCCGTTGTTTCTCTGCTCGTTCAGGCTGCTCAGGATGTCGCTGCTGTGATCCGGGAACGGGATCCCTATGGGGCCGTCCACGCCACCCGCCATCTTCCACGCAAAAGGCTGCGGAGAAGGAGGGGAAGGTGGTGAGTCACGGCTGGGAGGCATCAAACCCGTGGGAGAACTCCCGAGGAACGTGCCCGGCAGCGCCGGCCGCGTGTGTCCCTCTCCATGTTCCCTGGACATTTCCATATCCCCTAGACCTCTCCATGTCCCTGGACCTCTCCATGTTCCCTGAACATTTCCATATCCCCTAGACCTCTCCATGCCCCTGGACCTCTCCATGTGCCCAGGCCCTCTCCATGTCCCTGAGCCTGCCATCCTGCCTGGCTTCCTCCTCCCCAGGTGAGGATGGACCTGTGCTTACCTTCACTCCTGGAGGGAGGAGGAGAAACAGAGCCCAGGAGCTCTCAAGTGGCTGAATTAACACCAGGCCAGGGCCAGCAAGGCTTGGCAAGGAGCAGGGATCATGTGGCCAGGAAGCACCTGGCATCGGGATCCAGCAGCCTGAGCCTTGCCAGAGCATCCCAGCCCACCTCTGGGAGCATTTCCCAACCCCACTCCTACTGGGAAAGTCCCCCTGCTCACCCAGCCCAGCAGAACTGCTGACAGAGTCATAACTGGGAACACCGTTCCCACTGCTCATCCCTGGGATACACCTGGAGAGATGCAGGCAGGGAGCATCCTTTGGGAAGGGCCCAGCAGCCCCTGGGGACAGGGAGAGGGGAACAGCAACCACCCCAAGCTGCTGCTGTGGGTGCTGGAGATGAAACCTTGGACCTCCATCTGCTGCACCTTCCCGGGAACAGGAGAGAGGGAGGACTTTGGGATCACCCAGTGCCAGCACCAGGCCCAGATCTTGGAAAGGCTTCACCAGAAGCAGCTGTTCCTCCCAAAGGACAAGAGAAATAAAGTCACTCCTGACAGATCCACTCGACTCCAAAGAACTGGAATGCCCAGAGGGAAGCGGGCAGCCCTGTTGGGAAGAGATTCCCTTCGCCAGGAGAGGGGCACTGGGGCCAAACGTGGGTTCACTGCCAGCCTGAACGAGCCCCTAATTCTCCCATGATCTCAAAAATCAGGGATAACATTTCCCACCTCTCCATCTCCAGCAGCAAATCCACATGCTCCTTGCAGCAGCCCAAAAATCAACATATCCCACCCCCCCCAAGCACTGGGATCATCAGAAGCCAAGAATTCCACGCCCAAATCGGGTCCCAAACCACCCTGGCACAAAAGCCTGGAGTATCCAAGCCCCCAGTTTCCGGGTTTTCAGGGAAACTGAGGCACAGCAGGAGAACATGGCCTGTCCCACAGGACAGGGGGGATGTGGATGAGTCAGGACAGATCCAGAACAGGAGCCATTTATCCAGGAAGCAACTCCCAGCACCGGGTTCTAGCACGGAGCAGGAGATTGGGTTGCACAACTCCAGCTTCCCCCACCCACCCCCCTCCCACTCGGTACTTTTCCACATTTACTTCTTTTTTCAAAAGTTTCCTTAATCCCAGCAAATAAATTTATTTGCTGCACCTTCCTGTTTTCTACAAAGAAAAGGCGGGAGGGAGGCGGGGCTGAGGCTGAGGAACACACGGAGCAGGAAGAGATCCCTGGATATTCCACAACAGCCAGGGGTTCTGCTCCCCACTGGAATGGGATGGGGGTGAGGAAGAGGGAGGATCCAGGGGAGCTGGGCTGGATGTGCAGGGCAGGCACAAGTCCTGCCACCACGACCAAGCACCAAAAGTGGCTTCCTGAGGCACCTGGAGCAAGGGATCGACTCCAGAGCAAATCCTGAGCTCTGGGATTTGACCTCCGAGCCCTTAATTTCAGGGATTTTTAAATCCCGGTCCTGGCAGGGAGGGAAAGGCTGTTTCCAAGCGCAGGACAGTTCCGAATTCCGGCTCCAGGTGTGACCTTGGGCAAGGTCACCTCATCCCAGAATCCCCAGGGGGTCAGAGGGACCCCTCCAGCCTCCTGAGCTTCCAGGGGAGGTTTGTGCTGCCTCAGCCCCAGAGCTCCCGAAACCCCCCCGCTCGGAGCCACCACACAGCACTCCTGGGAAGAGCACATCCAACACCTCCCAGCCCCTAAAAATGACATTAAACCCTCCTCCCTCCCCTTCCCTTCTCCATGAGATGCCTTACAAAGGATTTCCCCCCCCTCCCTCCCTCGGGAAGCATTTGGAAGCTTCAGGCAACGATCCCCGGGCGGCCGCGCTCCGTCGGTGCGGATCCCGGATCCCGGGGACCCAGGGGCCTTTGGGAGCCGCCAGGACATCCAGGGAAGGTCACCCCCCCCAGCCTGGGGGCCGGGATAATCGGCTGGACGGTGTGGGAACGGCTGCAGGGTCATGAGACTGCCGAGGGCTGGCTTGGAGAGTTGTCCAATTTCTCCCCTCATTCTCCTCGCACAACACGCCCTTTGTGTCCCTCGGCCGCGGTGGCCGAGGACGTCGGGGGGCAAACGGGCTGTTCCGAGCCCCCCCAGGAATGGATTCGGGGCCTGGGATGCTCCAGCCACATCCAGAGCCCTTAAAATCCCACCCCGTTCCCTTTCCAAGGGGCTGAACAGCCGGATCATCAGAACCTGGGAATTACTAACGGGAGATGGGAGTCTTCCACCTTATGGACTTGGAGCTTTTTTGGGGTCTTCCACCTTATGTTTCCACCCCTAAAAGCCCCAAACCCACTGTCTGCTCCCAGCAGGAGCCACCGGGCTCGACATCCCGGCGGGATGGGTGAAATCCACTTGGAAAAGCCCCTGAGGGCCAGGTGACAAGTGACAAAAGCCGCTGGCACAGCCACCAGCTCGTCCCCTCCTTGGCAAGGAAAAGGTCTGAATGGGCCACCAAGGGGGAGCTTCAACTACTGACCTAAATTTCCCAGGCAGCTCCATTCTCTCCCTGCCCGCTCCGACCGCTCCCGAGGAGTTCCAAGGGCGCTGTCCCAGACTGGGTGGCTCTGCAGGGCTCCAAGATGCCACATTTCACCCCAAAGCAGCCGCCTGGGAGAAGGTTGGGAATGGGCCTCGCATCCAACCGAGGGGGGAACCCGTCAACTTAAAATACAAACCCGTGAAAGAGGGTTTGTCACGAGCCCGGAGCCCTCCGAGGGATTCATGGAGCTGATTTACGGACCTGGCGCGACACCACCCGCAGCCCCAGCCCTGCTCTGAGCTTCCCAAACCCCAACACAACGGAGCTCGGGCCGTTCCAGCTCCACAGGACAGCCCAGCACACACACAGCCCCCATTCCAGGCAGGAAAATCTGCTTTGGATTGGATGCTGAATGCTGCGGGAGCAGGGGAAGTTCCTCTGCCTCCCTGAGCCGCTGATTTCCCACCAGCACCGACCCCCGTCTGACGCTGCTCCTCAGCACCAAAACAGAACCCCAGGATTGCTGAGGTTGGAAAAGACCTCCAGGATCAGGGAGTCACACCTTGTGACCCGTCCCCACCTTGTCCCCCAGCCCAGAGCACTGAGGGCCATGTCCAGGGGTTCCTTGGACACCTCCAGGGGTGGGGACTCCAAACCTCCCTGGGCAGCCCCTGCCAGCACCTGACTGACCTTTCCAGGAAGAAATTCCTCCTGATGTCCAACCTGGACCTCCCCTGGCACAACTGGAGGCCATTCCCTCTTGTCCTGTTGTTCCCTGGAAGCAGAGCCCAACCCCCCTTTGGCTCCCCCCTCCTGTCAGGGAGTTACAGAGCCAGAAGGTCCCCCCTGAACCTCCTTTTCTCCA